GTCATTAGAGAGCCATTCCTTTGGATCAAAACATTTGTTCCAGAAGGTCCAGGAGGCAGGGGGCTGGGGGAATGAATCTATAACCAACACTGTGGAACTAAAGAAGTGATAAGATGGGGCCAGCGCGATAGGACAAAGGGGAGAGTGTTTGCCTTGCACGCAGCTAACCCAGGTCCAGTATCCAGCATCCCATAGGACCCTCTGAGCACCTCCAGGACTCCAGGGGTGTTTCCTGAGTGCAGAACCAGGAGTAACCCCTGAGCATTGCCGGGTGTGACCCAAAAACAAAAAGGAAATGAGAGAGAAAGAGAGAGAGAGAACACTTCTGGAGTTTTAGCAGGAAAGACACTTGTCTTGCACCCGACTGACCCCAATTTCATCCTCTAGAGCCCCATAGGGTCCCCCTGAGCACTGTTAGGAGTGATTCCTGAGTGCAGAAGCCAGGAGTAACCCCTGAGCATCTGTCTGTGGCCCCAAAACAAAACAAAACAAAAATTGAGTGAAGAGGTACAGGAGAGATAATATAGCAGTGAAGATACTTGTCTTGCACACGTCCGACCCGTGTTCAGTTCCCATAGTACAGAGGGTTCCCCGAGACCTGCTAGGAGTTAGCCCTGAGGTGGCCAAAAAAGAAATGAACAGCAAAGTCAGGTTAAAGAAACTTTGGTACATCTACACAACGGAGTACTATGTAGCTGTTAGAAAAGATGAAGTCATGAAATTTATATACAAGTGGTACCACATGGAAAGTATCATGCTAAGTGAAATGAGTCAGAAAGAGAGGGACAGACATAGAAAGATTGCATTCATCTGGGGGATATAAAGTAACAAAATAGGAGATTAATACCCAAGAATAGCTGAGATCAGCACCAGGAGGATTACTCCATAGCTTAGAGGCCAGCCGGGCATTCTTGGGGAAAGGGCAGCTCAGATAGAGAAGGGAGCACCAAATAAAGGGTGTTTGGAGGATGCTCCCAGGAGGGGAGATGCATGTCGAAAGTAGACTATGGACTGAACATGTTTGCCACTCAATGCCTCTTTTGCAGACCACAACACCCAAAAGGAGAGAGAGAACAAAAGGGAATGCCCTGCCACAGAGGCAGGGTGGGATGGGGGGATGGGTTTGGGAGGGATACTGGGATCCATGGTGGCGGAAAATGGGCACTGGTGGAGGGATGGGTATTTGATCATTGTATGAACGAAACCCAAGCACAAATATTTGTAAATCTACAACTGTACCCCATGGTGCTACACTAATTAAAAAAAAAAAAAAAAAAGCAAAGTCAAAAGCACCAGGAATCATTTCTCTAGGTGACCTGACCTGGGTTCATTTAGAGAAGTTTGTAATCAAATGCTTAGTGGCGTGCGCGCTCGCGCAAACACACACACACACACACACACACACACACACACACACACACACACACACTTTCCCCTCTGCTGCCAAGAATCTTGTGCAGGCAGGACATTACCACTGCCGTACACCAGGGGGCAGCCTGACTTTAGTTTAGGGCTCTTCGGGGAGACTGTGTGTGTGTGTGTGTGTGTGTGTGTGTGTGTGTGTGTGAGAGAGAGAGAGAGAGAGAGAGAGAGAGAGAGAGAGAGAGATTTATTAACATTAATAAATGTTAATTTAGGGGCTGAAGCAATAGCACAGCGGGTAGGGCGTTTGCCTTGCACGCGGCCGACCCGGGTTCGATTCCCAGCATCCCATAGGGTCTGCCCCAAGCACCGCCAGGAGAGATTCCTGAGTGCATGAACCAGGAGTAACTCCTGTGCATCGCAGGGTGTGACCCAAAAAGCAAAAATTAAATAAATAAATAAATAAATAAAATGTTGATGTATTAATGTTTGACGGGAAGTTTTCACTGTGGATTTCATAGTGGAGGTTCCTGCCCATTTCAGGGACAGCCCCCCGCCCCCCAACCCCTACCCCTCGTAATACTGAAGTATTTTGTGTATATCTTGGTCTGCAAGCAAACATGCATGCGGGTATGTGCATACATCCATGCAATTGCCTGTTAAGAGGGTATTTTTACTTCATTTTGGGGCGTGTGTGTGTGTGTGTGTGTGTATTGGGGTCACACCCGGCAGTACTCAGGGCTGACTCCGGGCTCAGGGATCACTCCTAGGACCCTATAGGGTACTGGGGACCGAACCCGAGTCTGCCGCGTGCAAGGCAAGCCCCTTACCTCTTAGGAGACGCTAAACCTGATATTGGGGGGGGGTCCAAAAAAAAAACAAAAAAAAAACAGCTGTGAGCGCTGACGACAAATCAGAAACGGCCACTAGGGAGCAGTACACGACTTCAATTCGGTGGGGACCGATTTCCAGCTCCAGGACTCTCCCTTTCCTTGAAAACGGAGACTGCCCTGCAGATCGTGCTGCTGGAGTAAGTGGATCTGACCCCAAGGAATCTCCTTAAAAAGCAGGAGAGGGGGCTGGAGCCATAGCACAGCGGGGAGAGCGTTTGCCTTGCACGCGGCCGACCCAGGTTCGATTCCCAGCATCCCATATGGTCCCCTGAGCACCACCAGGAGTGATTTCTGAGTGCAGAGCAAGGAATAACCCCTGTGCATTGCCGGGTGTGACGCAAAAAAAAAAATAAATAAATAAAAAAAGCAGGAGAAACGTGGACACAGACAGAAACACGGGGTGGGCAGGGCATATTTTTGTTTTATTTTATTTATTTTTGCCACATTTCAGCGACGTGCAGGGTCTGACTTCTGGCTTCTGCCCTCAGCAATCACTCCTGGCTGTGCTCAGGGGGGTGGGGGTACCCTATGGAGTGCCAGGGACCCAACCTGGGTTGGCTGCGCGGGCAAGACCAGCGCCCTCCCCACTGTCCTATCGGGGGCTTAAGTCCTGGAATTCTGTTGCTGTAAACCAAGAATGAACAGAACCTAAACCGCCTCCAGGAACGGATCTTTCCCTGGAAGCCACGGAGACAGAGATGGGCAAATGCAAAACTTCCGTGCATGTGTGTATCAGGCATGTATCTGCAGGCATACTCGTGCACGCCTGCACTTACCTGCGTGCCTACCTTCCTGCACATGCGTGCACGTTGCACAGAGACATTCCTGCACATGTGTGCATATTTTCACATAGACATTCATGCACATCTGTGCATATTTGCAAGTATGCATTTCTGCACGTGTGTTTGCAGGCATGCATGTCTGGAATATCTGTCATGAATATAGGCACATATGTACCTTTTCTAATTATTTTTTTTATTTGATCAGGGAGAAGATGCCAAAAAGTGGAATCACTCGAGACCCTTTTTTTTTCTTAAATAAACTCCTAACCACTAGACTACCAGGGAGCACATATACATATATATGATGTAAATAGAGTATTTTGATATGTAGGGGGGAAAACTAAAAACACCTATACTTTGAAAGCAAATATATTGATAACTTTACCACAGTGCTTCAGTAATTAAAAAATATTATTCTATATCTTTTATAGTATTCTGGTGATTGCCTATATATGTGGGGACGGAGGCAGAGTCTCCTGCCCCCGCGCCTGGCTGTCCTCGCCGGGGCCCCTTGGAGGGGAGTGGGTTGAGTTTTCCTCCCCCCCCCCCCCCCGACCAAGGCCCCGGCAGCCGAAGACCTCCAGAACCAGCCACCACCATGCTGAGACCACTCTCCACACACCTGAAGTACCGGCAGAGGAACAAAGGCACGCAGATCCTGGGGCTGAGATCTCCAAGCCTACTCAGATCAGGGCTGAGCATCCTCCACCCAGATACTCCAGATTCTGGTAGGCAGGGGTCACACCCACCAACTGGCTCCTGGCACCCTGGCGCCGTGTAATCCCATCAACAGCCAAGACTCAGAGACTATAAAACCCAGCTCTCGGAAGCGCGCAGCCGTGCGACATCTTATCATCTCATTCCTACTTTGGACAAACTGTCAGGCTACCGAATGTCACCTGCCCACACGGCAGAGTCTGGCAAACTCCCCGTGGCGTCCCCAATATGCCAAACACCGGTAACAATGAAGGGTCTCATTCTCCTAACTCTGAAAGAGCCTTGAATATGGCACTTAAAAAAAAAATCTCAGGGCTAGAACGAAGGAGACGTTACTGGGGCCTGCTCGAGGCAATCGACGAATAACAGGATGGTTGTAATTGATTATGATTGTGGGGGAAGGAGGATCTACATTTTGTTTATGACCAACAAATACATGTATAGATCCTTATAGGTTCTTTTCCTTTGGGGGAGAGGGGGATGATTACATTTAGCAATGATCAGGGATTAACACAGCAGTAGGGTGTTTGCCTCACAAGCCAACAGCCTGGCCAAGCCGGGTTCGATTCCTCCGCCCCTCTCGGAGAGCCCGGCAAGCTACCGAGAGTATTTCTCCCGCACAGCAAAGCCTGGCAAGCTACCCGTGACGTATTCCATATGCCAAACACAGTAACAACAAGTCTCACAATGGAGACGTTACTGGGCCCGCTCGAGCAAATCGATGAACAACGGGAGGACAGTGCTCATTGCCCACCTGACATTTTTTTTCCTTCTCCAGGAAATCTGCCCGAGAGGTTCTCGCCCAATCCAAGACCTGGTCACGTTCTCTCCCCATTCCCAAGGCCTCCTTGGTTCCCTCGTTGTGGAACATAGTATGAGGCTAGATCAGCCCAGGTACGTTTTAGGCACTTAAGGGCTGGGTGGCCACATCCGGCGGTGCTCGGGGCTGACTCCTGGCTCTGCACTCAAGGATCACTTCTGGCAGTGCTCAGAGCAACCCTATGGGATGCCGGCGATCGAACCCTGGCCAGCTGCAAACAAGGCAAGTGCCCTTCCCGCTGTGCTCTCTCCAGCTCCACTCCAGTTTCATTTCAAGCACAGAGCCAGGAGCTCAAGGCTGAAAGGTGTGCGGGTCAGTGTGTGAGTTGTGGGGTGAGGCAGCCGGCAGCCCCAATCGATCCCCTGAATGACACCCATCTCTCTCCATCCATCATTTTATTAAAAGCAGTCGCCCTGAGTTCCCCTCTGAGGGAACCCAGAGGAAATGGGTGTGTTATAAATTAACCCCGGCAGGGGGGCACTGTCCCAGGAGGCCGCGCCGTGTGCGGGGCCGCTCTGCTCCTCCGAGCCGGTCGTTGCACGGGCCTGATCTCAGTCTCGGTGTCTTGGTCCATCCGCAGATGCTCAACAGTACTCGGAATAATCCTCCTCCACGTAGTTGGCAGGGAACCAGCCGATCTGGACAGAGACGGGATCAGGAGGCCCTCTTTGGAGCCCCCCCTCCACGTCCTCTCCCACCCCAGGCCTTGGCACTTATCCCCGAAAGGAGATCCCCACCCCTCAGCTACACACACACACACACACACACACAAACAGCTGGGCAGCCGCCCCCTGTTCTGATCCCCCGTCATCTGTTCAGCAGGAACTTCCTGACAAGCTTCCCCCAAAACCCACAAACGTTCCTTAGCGCCCCCTCCCATCTGTTATCTTTCCGTGACATCTGCCAGCGCCTAATGAATGGTGCATGTTGTTACGGATGGACTGGCTGGCTGTTACACACACATACACACACACACACACACACACACACACACACACGAGATCCCCGGAATCTTACTTGCCACCAAGTCCGAAGAGGCTATCCCAGTTTTGGTACACGGTAGATACTCGAAGTGTTTGTTGAATTAATGGATGGATGAGTGGGTGGATGGGGGGGTGGGGGTGGGGTGAATAGATGGGTGGGTGGATGGTGAGCAGATGGGTGGGTGGATAGATGGATGGGTGGATGGATGGATGGATTGATCGATCGATGGATCGATGGATGGGTGGGTGGGCGGATAGATGGGTGAGTGGGTGGGTGGATGGGTGGGTGGATGGATGGATGATGGATAGATGGGTGGGTGGATGGATGGATGGATGAAATGAATGGATGATGGGTGGATAGATGGGTGGGTGGGTGGGTGGATGGATGGATGGATGGATGGATGGATGGATGGATAGATGGGTGGGTGGGTGGATGGATGGATGGATGGATGGATGGATGGATGGATGGATGGATAGATGGGTGGATGGATGGATGGATGGATGGATGGATGGATGGATATGTGGACAGATGGATGGGTAGATGGGATGATAGGAGGATGGCTGAACGGATAAGTGGGTGGATTGGTGGATGAAGAGAGATCAATAGAGGTGTAATGATAGATATTCATAATCTATAAACAGATACACAAAGTGATGAAGGAAAGATGCATGTATAGAGCAAACAAAGGAAGAAAGAGCCAAGAGATTAACTATGGATGAAAGGAGGAATGGATGGATCGGTGATGGAGAAGTAGAGAGATATGAATCTCTCACAGCCAAGATGGATGAATGAATGGAAGGAAAGCAGGGAGGGAGGAAGAATGGAAGAATTCCCCCCAGTCAGATTCAACACACATGCACACAGATACACAGCTATTGCACACACGCCCAAACACCCATGCACACATTCACCCACGAGGCCGCCCCACGCCCTCCCTGTGCCGCTCACCCGCCCATAGATCTCGCCACGCCACCAGCCTTGCTGGCCCTTCTTGTTCAGGATCTTGATGATGTCGCCCTCCTTGAGGGACAGCTCTGTCCGGTCCCGGGCGCAGAAGTCGTAGCGAGCTTTGGCGGTGCCGAAGTACTTGGTGCTGCCCGCGGCTGGAGGGGAGGAGCAGAGATGGGGGGTGTCCAGCTCCGCCCCCCACCCAATCCCCTCCATGCTGACACACCCACACTTCGTTTCTCTTCTCCTTTCCTTGTATCTCTTCCCCTCTTACCCTTCCCTTTCCTGGTTGGTGGGGCTACTAGCCAGAGAACCCCCTTCCCCCCATCCCACCTGGTGGCCTGCTGATGGCCCTTCTCTCAGGCTCCTTGAACGGGAACTGCAGGGACGTATCCAGGGACTTGAAACAATCCTTCAGCGAGTTCTGCTGGTAAAACTCCACCAGCTCCTAAGAGGAGAACAAAAGGTGAGTGTGGGGACGCCATGGTAGGGGGTCCTGTCCCCTTGGGAAAGATGGAGCACAGCTGGATTAAGCCTCGTGCAGGGGGAGGCAGGAAGCCGCGATCCCTCTCACCCTGCAGGATTCTGAGCTCCGGAAAATGACCCCAGCGTTGGGCTGTTGTTCCCACCCTGAGCACTCAGGATCACTGTGGTTTCATTTGTGGTGGGATCACACACACACACACACACACCCCAACAATGCTCAGGGCTGACTCCTGGCTCTGTGCCCAGGGATCACGCCTGGTGGGGCTGGGGAGACCCTCTGGCATGCTGGGGATTGAACCTGAGTCAGACATGTGCAAGTCAGATGACTTAACCCTCTGTTAAATCTCTCCAGTCATTCGTTGTTTTCTTTTGCTTTGGAAATGTGACCAACAGAAGCTCCCATGCTGTCAGACTTGTGGTAAAATCTTGGTGTGGGGGCTGGAGCAACAGGATAGTGGGGAAGGCATTTGCCTTGCACACAGCTGACCTGGGTTTGATCCTTGGCACCACATAGGGTCCCCCAAACCCTGCCAGGAGTGACTCCTGAGTGCAGAGCCATGAGTCAGCCCTGGGCATCACCAGATGTGGCCCACAAACCAACAAAAGAGGGGCTGGAGCGATAGTCCAGTGGGGAAAGCGCTTGCCTTGCACTTGGCTGACCTGGGTTCGGTCCCCAGCATCCCATAGGGTTACCCGAGCATCTCCAGCAGTGATTCCTGAGCACAGAGCCAGGAGTAACTCCTGAGTATCTCCAGGTGTGACCCAAAATACAAAAACAAAAAGAAAAAAAAAAAGAAAAAGGGTGCTCTCGGCCATGGGCTGGAGGCTGTGACCGGTGCTGATCAGGAGGAGGAGGCAGTGGTGGTCACCGCCCTTAGTCACAAGGAGGCTGGATTTAAGGCCACTGCTCCACGGTGCCCACAGGAGGACCTGGTATGGACAAAGAGTGGCCAGATCCCATGGTACTGCCTCCGGGCAGATGCTGCCAGGGGTTCGAGAACGTTGGACAAGGGGAGACGAGGGCCTTACCATGAGCCCCCGGAATGCCTTCTTGTCTGTGATCCGATACAGTCCTTCTGCTGTCATGATTTTAATGTGTTTGACCTCCACGTTATATCTGGAAGCAGAGAGGGAGAGAGTGAGGGACAGAGAGGGAGGGAGAGAGGGGGAGAGAGAGGGAGGGAGAGAGAGGGAGAGGAGAGAGTGAAATAGGGAGGGAGAAGGGGAAGGAGGTGGGGGAGGGAGGGAGAGAGAGGGAATGAGAGAGAGGCAGAAAGAAGGAAAGGCAGAAAGAGAGAGAAAGGAAGAGGGAGGGAAAGAGGGAGGGAGAGAGGGAGAGAAGGAGGGAGAGAGAAGTAAGGAGAGAGGGGGAGAGAGAGAGAAACAGGAAGAGGGAGAGATAGAGGGAGGAAGAAAGAGGGAGAGAGATACGGGAGAGAGAGAGGGAGAGAGGCGACCACTGGATGATGAGGCTGCAAGTTCAAGCCCATCACCAGCCACTCCGCCTGCCAGTCTCCCCTCCCAACCATGGGAGCAAACTTGGCTGCCTGAAGGCGAGAACAGACTAACACATCCCTCCTCTGAGCTGTGCCCACTCTAATCCTTCTCAATTATTCCCCTGTCCATTAGAAAACAGCTCCCTAATCCACAAGGCTGTTGAGAAGCCATCAAAGATCTTGGCAAGGAAGCAGTGTTGGGGCCAAGTCATAGGACAGTGGGGAGGATGCTGGCCTTGCACGCGGCCAACCCAGGTTCGATCCCCGGCACTCTAGAGGGTAGCTGAGGCCCCATTGAGAGTAATTTCTGATGCAGAGCAAGGAGTTAGCCCTGACCATCTCTGGATGTGGCCCAAACACACACACACACACACACACACACACACACAGAAATTAAAATATAACAGACAGGACTAGCTTTACACTTTCACTCTTCCCCCAATTCTATGGTAGGGCCATAGAATAAAAAGACTGTGACAGAAGAATCCTAATTCCATCAATATGGCAACCCACAGACCAGGAGAAAAAGTTATGGATGGAGACACTGATTTCCACTAAGATGACAACCCACTAAGCACAAAGGGCCTGGGAAGAAGCAGATGAACTTCTATTTCATTAGTTTTGTGGGGGGTTTTTTGTTTGTTTGTTTTTTGCTTTTTGGTCACACCCAGAAATGCACAGGGGCCGCTCCTGGCTCTGCACTCAGGAGTTACTCCTGGCACTGCTCAGGGGACCATATGGGATGCTGGGAATTGAACCCGGGTCGGCCGCATGCAAGGCAAACGCCCTACCCGCTGTGCTATCTCTCCGGCCCCTAGTTTTGGTTTTAGGGCCACACCTAGTAGTGTCCAGGGCTGATTCTTGGCTTTGCACTCAGGAATCACCCTGGCGGGGATTAGGGAACCCTATGGGATGTCAGGGGTCAAATCCAAGTCGGCCACAGGCAAGGCCAGCACCCTCCCCACTGTGCTATGGCTCCAACCCCAGCAGCCGATGGAGTTCTGCTCTTTATGGGGTAAACCACGAAACACTTCTGCTATGGAAAGTCCTTAGACATGCAGCTAAAAATAAAGATGCAACTCAACACTGAAGCGTCCATACAAATTGCTACCCTAGGAGTTTGCTGCGCTTGGTCAGCAAAAAGTGCTTAGTCAACAGAGCACTGCCAAGAGCACCCCCAGAGCACAGAGTTAAGAGTCGTCAGCTGAGCTCCATTGTGTTCCCTGGGAAAACATTGTACCTAGAAAAAAAATTCACAGCCCGAGAGATAGTACAATGGGTAGGGCGTTTGCCTTGCACACAGCCAACCCGTGGTCCATCCCCAGCATCCCATAGGGTCCCTTGGCACCGCCAGGAGTAGTTCCCGAGTGCAGAGCCAGGAGTAAGCCCTGAGCATCCATGGGTGTGGCCCAAAATACAAACAAAAAGAGAACTCTGGGACCAGAGAGATAGTAGGACGCATGCAGCTGATACGAGTTTGATCCCCAGCATCCCATACGGTCCCCCAAGCACCACCAGGAGTAATCCCTGAGTGTCAAGCCAGTAGTTATACCTGAGCACAGATGAATGTGCTCCCCAACAAAAGAGAGGGGGAGAGGGAGAGAGAGAGAGAGAAAGAGAGAGAGAAAGAGAGAGAGAAAGAGAGAGAGACAGAGAGACAGAGAGAGAGAGAGGAGAATTCTACCCATTAGCAGAGTGGGGATGGTGAGAAAATGTGTGGAAATGACACATGTCAAATTTCACTGGGACCAAGACAGACACGACGTGCCCAAGTAATGCAAGGACCAGGAGACAGATGTTCCAGGATTGCTACTTTAGTTTCTCCCTCAAACAGAAAATCTCTGTGAGGCACAGTGGAGCCATGACCTCGCCCCAAACCAAGGCTGGCAAAGTCTGGGAGGTCGGAGGGTGGTGAATCCTGTCAACATCCCTTTTTTTCTTTCAAGGAGGATGTTCTTTATTCTGTTTTCCCCTCCTAAATGAATGGCTCCCTTTCTAGTGATTATCCGACACCCCTAAAATGATCAGAAAGAAGATCCACAGTCTAGGGTCTGCCCCCACCCGCAGACTCACATAAAGTTTGAATTTTTTTTCCCACTCTCTGATGTCCATTGAATTCCTTTGCAGGAATTCGCAGGAGGTTGGGGGAAGATTAGCTTCCCCCCTACACACACCAAGAAATTCACATTTGGAGGTTGGTGCTCACAAGGCTGAAGGTTTAGGGGTCTGAGCGATAATACAGCAGGCGAAAGCTTGCCTTGCATGAGACTGATCCATTTCGATCCCTGGTTCCCCATAGGGTCCCCGCACTTTGCCAGGAGAGATCCCCCAAGTGCCAAGAGTCAGCCCTGAGCACGGCTGGGTGTGACAAAAAAAAAAAAAAGCAAAGGTTTGGGATTTTCACCTCAACTCCCCACCCCATTCAGCCACTTGTGTAATCTGGGAAACTAAGAAATTCAACTTCACTATTTGGGCGACCTGAGAAAGAAAAGAGCCAGTTGCAACAGGAGCAAACGCAACACCTCCGGGGTGGGGGGGACCCCAGCAACCAGATCCCACAGGGAAAGTCCCACTGTAGGTCACAAGACCCACTTGCAAAACCAAAGCGGAAGTGAGGAAACATGAGTAAGACACTGAACACAGAGAGACGCGCATCCACGTCTGCGAGTCTGTGTGGACCGTCTTCAATGCGCTCATGAGCCTGAGTTTCTTTTGGGTACTCTAAGGAAGATGCAAATCCACCCGCGGTCTGCAGGGGAGCGCTCTAAGACCTAACCGTTCCCGCCCGTTAAGTTCCAACCCTTCTCTCTCAGCACCTGCCATGCTCAAGTCTCAGGTGGGGGTAGGAGGGAGGAATTACTTAATGCTGATGGCAAATTCGGCAGCATCTTTCACCCTCTGTCGCACTAAGAACGTCCCGTCGGAGCGGTTGGTGAGGATGCTTTCTGCCCCTGCGCGCTCCATGGGGCCAGCATACCTGCCAAGAGAGACAACAGCAACGGTCCAGACAGATTCCTTGTCGGTGCCCCCCAAAATGAGGCCAACTACACTCCCAACCCCTATGGGGTTTTGTTTTTAAGTTGGCGAGTGTCTAGGTCAAAGAGTCCTTAGACATTAATGCATGGATGGGTGGAGGGATGGAGGGAGGGAGACAGGGAGGGAGACAGGGAGGAAGGGAGGGAGGAAAGAAGAGAGGGAGGGAGGGAGGGAGGGAGGGAGGGAGGGAGGGAGGGAGGGAGGATGAATGAACAGAGGGATGGATGGATGGAGGGGTGGATGGAGGAGAAAAGGAGGAAGGGAGAGAGGGAGGGAGAGAGGGAGGGAATGATGGAGGGAGGGAAGGAGGGAGGGAAGAAGGATGGAGGGAGGAGAGGAGGAAGAATGGAGAGATGGGGGATAGCTGGATAGATGGATGGATGGATGGATGGGTGGGTGGGTGGATGGAGGAGAAAAGGAGGAAGGGAGAGAGGGAGGGAGAGAAGGCGGGAATGATGGAGGGAGGGAAGGAGGGATGGAAGAAGGATGGAGGGAGGAGAGGAAGAAGAATGGAGAGATGGGGGATAGCTGGATAGATGGATGGATGGATGGATGGATGGATGGATGGGAGAGGGGGTGGATGGATGGATGGATGGATGGGTGAATGGAGGAGAAAAGGAGGAAGGGAGAGAGGGAGGGAGAGAGTGAGGGAGTGATGGAGGGAGGAAAGGAGGAATGGAATAAGGATGGAGGGAGGAGAGGAGGAAGAATGGAGAGATGGGGATAGCTGGATGGATGGATGGAGGAGAAAAGGAGGAAGGGAGAGAGGGAGGGAGAGAGGGCGGGAATGATGGAGGGAAGGAAGGAGGGATGGAAGAAGGATGGAGGGAGGAGAGGAGGAAGAATGGAGAGATGGAGGGATAGCTGGATAGATGGATGGATAGATGGATGGATGGGAGAGGGTGTGGATGGATGGATGGAAGGATGGATGGATGGATGGATGGATGGGTGAATGGAGGAGAAAAGGAGGAAGGGAGAGAGGGAGGGAGTGATGGAGGGAGGGAAGGAGGGATGAAAGAAGGATGGAGGGAGGAGAGGAGGAAGAATGGAGAGATGGAGGAATAGGTGGATGGATGGATGGATGGATGAATGGATGGGAGAGGGGTGGATGGATGGATGGGTGAATGGAGGAGAAAAGGAGGAAGGGAGAGAGGGAGGGAGGGAGTGATGGAGGGAGGGAAGGAGGATGGAGGGAGGAGAGGAGGAAAAATGGAGAGATGGAGGGTAGGAGGATAGATAAATGGATGGATGGATGGATGGATGGAGGGGTGAATGGAGGAGAAAAGGAGGAAGGGAGAGAGGGCGGGAGAGAGGGAAGGAGTGATGGAGGGAGGGAAGGAGGGATGGAAGAAGGATGGAGGGAGGAGAGGAGGAAAAATGGAGAGATGGAGGGATGGATGGATGGATGGAAGAGGGGGTGGATGGATGGATGGATGGGTGAATGGAGGAGAAAAGGAGGAAGGGAGAGAGGGAGGGAGAGAGGGAGGGAGTGATGGAGGGAGGGAAGGAGGGATGGAAGAAAGATGGAGGGAGGAGAGGAGGAAGAATGGAGAGACGGAGGGATAGGTGGGTGAATGGATGGATGGATGGATGGATGGATGGACGGATGGATGGGAGAGGGGGTGGATGAAAGGATGGATGATAGATGAGTGCATAGGTGGGTTGATGTGTTGGTAGACCAATCAGTGGATGCGAGGCTGGGTGGGTGGGTGTATGGATAAGTGAGGAGGTGGATCAGTGGATGATGGATGATAAATGGGTCGGCAGCATCCTTCACCCTCTGTCGCACTAATAAGTGGGTGGGTCAGTGGGTGCACGGACAGATGAGTGAGTGGACCTTCAAAGCTAGGAGGATTGAAGAATGAGCTCCTGATGGGTTTGGAGGTGCCTCCCGTCCCGACTTGGATACCCAAGGAGAACCCAAATTGGAGACAAGAAAGGGAGTACTACTCACCAGAGGTAAACAGACAGGTCTTGAGGGGGGCCCTGGGAACACAAGCAAAGACCCAGACTTAGGGCAAAGGGTCTGAATTACAGAGTTGGGGAAAGGCTCAAGGGGCCGAGTGCAGGCTCTGCATCACCCAGGCTTTCTCCCTGGCACTGCAGGGACCCCGAGCACCACCAGGAGCCTCCCCAAGCACAGAGCCAAAGTAGCTCCTAGCAGGACCGGGTGTGGTCCCAAAATAAAATAAATAGCACTGCACTGTATGTAGCACTGTCCTCCTGTGGTTCATCGATTTGCTCGAGCAGGCACCAGTAACGTCTCCATTGTGAGACTTGTTGTTACTGTGTTTGGCATATCGAATATGCCACGGGGAGCTTGCCAGGCTCTGCCATGTGGGTGGCATACTCTTGGTAGATTGCTGGGCTCTCCAAGAGAGACGGAGGAATCGAACTTGGGTCGGCCGCATGCAAGGCAAATGCCCTACCTGCTGTGCTATCGCTCCAGCCCTAAATAAATAAATAAATAAATAAATAAATTTTTTTAAAAAAGAGGCCAGGCCAAGCAGAGGCCACGACTCCATAGAGAACCCCATCCAGCTGGCCAGCCTTTGCCCCGTCCCCTCTCCCAAATGAGGGACCTTCTGGCAGAGACAATTGGGGGCCAGGCTCAGAACCCGGCCCACTCCACTCAGGTGACCCAATGAACAGAACTTTTTGTCGAGGTGAGGGGCACACCCAGCAGTGCTCAGTGCTGACTCCCAGCTCTGCACTCAGGAATCACTCCTGGTGGTGCTCAGGGGACCCTGTGGGGTGCTGGGGATTGAACCCAGGTTGGCCACGTGCAAGGTCAGTGCCCGCCCCACTGTGCTGTCGCTCCGGCCCTGAGTGGACAGAATCTTGAGCTCAGGGTGACCTTCCAGGATAGACAACCCCCTCCCTACCTCCAGGGTCACCACCCAGGGCAGCCCCCACTCCCAGGACCACCTCCCCCACCCTCACCCCCTCCCGGACACTCACGTGCACGAAGGGCTTGACCCTGTTGCAGGGAAACCAGCCAACGTCATTGGTAGCCGTGTTCCTGCCCTGGACATGGAAAAGGAAAACAGGGCGGGGCTGAGGAGCCGTGACTGTGTGCCTGTGTACATGTATGCATGTGTGTGTGTGGTGTGCACACGTGCGTGCATGTGATTGTGTGTATTGTGAGCACATATATGACCTGTGCTGCATGGGTGCCTTGTACATGTGTGTACTTGTGTGGTGTATGCATGAATACGTGTGTACCCATGTTCATATGCCTGCCCATCTTTTTTTTTTAATAATGTAGGAGTACTTCTGTTTGTTGCACATGTTCATATTTTTAGAGTGAAGCAATAACACAGTGGTAGGGTGTTTGCCTTGTGTGCAGCCGGCCGGCCGGCCAAGCCTGGTTCGATTCCTCTGCCCCTCTCGGAGAGCCGGCAAGCTACTGAGAGTATCTCACCCAGATGCCAAACACAGTAACAACAAGTCTCAAAACGGAGATGTTGGAGCTGGAGCGATAGCACAGCGGGGTAAGGCGTTTGCCTTGCACGCAGCCAACATGGCCGACCCAGGTTCGATTCCCAGCATCCCATATGGTCCCCTGAGCACCGCCAGGAGCAATTCCTGAGTGCATGAGCCAGGAGTAACCCCTGGAGCATCGCCGGGTGTGACCCAAAAAGAAAAAAAACAGAGATGTTACTGGGCCCACTCGAGCAAATCGATGAACAACGGGAGGACAGCTCATCTTTCTACCCAGTGGTCACTCTCTCCCTATGACCTGATTGGCCAGCAGGGTGTCAATCAATATCAGTTTGCTGGAAGAGGAACAGTCCCAGAGAGCAGTTCCTGGTCCCACCCGCATCGGTCTCTTTTATTCCTTTGGATTTGGGGGCCACCTAACTGGGCAGTACTCCAGGGCTAACTCCCAGCTCTGCGCTCAGAGATCACTCCTGGTGGGGACTTGAGGACCCTGTGGGATGTCGTGATTGAACCCAAGTCAGCCGCATGCAAGGCGAGCGTCCTTCCTACTGCTCGCGTCTGTCCACTTGTGTTTGTCACTCAGGGGACCCGTAGGGCCCTCTGGGGCTTCCAGCACATTCGCAGTTGGGGGGGGGGCGTCAGGGGACAACCGCATCCATGGGGAGGGGGTCCAATCTGAGACTTCCGGGAGCCCCGGAAACAAAGTTAGGAGGGGCACTGTGGGGAACGGGATTGAGAAACGCTGGTCAACACCACCCTCCTCGGGCCTCCCCAGATCTGCCTGGCTCTTGCAAAAGTCCAATAGGGCCACAACCCCCCCTTCCAGAGGGTCTCGCTCTCTTGCACGCCTCTCTCTCTCTCTCTCTCTCTCTCTCTCTCTCTCTCTCTCTCTCTCTCTTTCCCTCTCTCTCTCTCTCCCCCCGTCAATCCCAGGAGACACACAAACACAGATACAGACACACACATATACACACACGCTCACACACACACTCATACACACACACTCACACACACACACACACACACTCACACAGCCCGTACCTCCCACCAGTTCTGTTCGGCCTCAGCTTTGGTGAGTTCCACGATGTCTCCAGGGTTGAGACGTAGGAAGGGTCCGAAAGCTCCGGGCGGTGGGGGCAGCCCGTAGTACTCAGCACACACCTCCATCTTGGGCAAGCCTGGGGGGGTGGGGTGGGGCAGGAGGAACAGAGTCAGGGGGACTTTGGGGTTACGCACGCCTGCACATCACCCCCCACTCACCAGGATGGAGCCAATGAAAGACACAGGCGGACCCAAGGGGCGGTGGAAAAGGGGCCATGGGCGCAGGACTCCGTGGGCTTTGCATTCTGGATGGTTTCTCCCCTCCAAGTGCTAAATAACTCGGCCCAAACTGGGGGGAAGACCAGAGACCCCACTGTGGGCCACATACGCTCTGAGCCCCAGAAGGATGTCTGGGTCCAGGACAAAATGGACCCCAGAGACTAGCATGCTTCCACTTTACACAGCTGCAGACCAGTACCTGTCCCGGGAATGGATTCGGTTTTGAGTTTTAAGCCACACCCAGTGATGCTCTTAGGAATGCTGAGGGAACCATGTCGTGCCAGGAATCGAACCCAGGACGCCTGTCTCACCTACGAAGCCTGCCCCCTATGGAGCCCTACTCTGCGCCCCGTGATGATCATTTTTGTTTGTGTGCTTGTTTGTTTGTTTGTTTGTTTTGCGTGTCAGGGGATTAAACCCAGGTCTTATGCATGCAAGGCACACGTACTCTGCCACGGAGTCACATCCCCAGGTCCCTCTTTTTTTTATTTTTAATTATTTCTTTGTTTTTTTTTTTTTGCTTTTTGGGTCACACCCTGCAATGCTCAGAGGTTATTCCTGGCTCTGCACTCAGGAATTACTCCCGGCGGGGCTCAGGGGACCCTATGGGATGCTGGGAATCGAAACCCTGGTCAGCCGCGTGCAAGGCAACACCCTACTCCGCTGTGCTAATCGCTCCAGCCCCTATTTTTACTTTTTTTTTTTTTTTACTTTTTTATTGAGAATCCTGGAGATCTGACCTGCTGTGAACCAGGCACACCTGAGAAGGTGATTCTCATTTCCTCCGGCTTTGCACAGCGCCCCCTGCTGATTTACCCAGGTTATTATTACTCTGGCAAGCTCCCCGGGGTGTATTCGAGATGCCAAAAACAGTAACAATAAGTCTCACAATGAAGACATTACTGATGCCCGCTGGAGCAAATCGATGAACAAACGGAACACAGTGCACTGCGGTGCAGTGTTCCTTCTCCCACACAGTGCCAGGCCCCCTGCTGGGCTTACCCAGTTTATTCCTCTCCTTGTCTTGCTGCCGGCGATGGTGGGCCTGTAAGGGGCAAAAAAGCAAAGATGACCACCCGAGTCCAGCGCTTCTTAGCCGGTCTCTGGCCTCCTGAGGGCTGGAAGGCTCTCCCGCGTCCTTCCCTCCTTTTTTTTTTTTGTTTTTTGCTTTTTTGGGTCACACCCGGCAATGCACAAGGGTCACTCCTGGCTCATGCACTCAGGAATTACCCCTGGCAGTGCTCGGGGGACAATATGGGATGCTGGGAATCGAACCCGGGTCGGCTGCGTGCAAGGCAAACGCCCTACCGCTGTGCTATTCCTCCAGTCCCATCCTTCCCTCCTTACTCCCCGGGACTTTCGTTGCATAGAAAGGAGCCAGGAGGTCTTACCTTCTTCAATGGTGCCTGAAAAATCTTTGAAAGAGAAAAGGCAATTGTCAGGATGGGGAATCCATCCCTTCCCCCCCACCCCGACTCCGCCGCTGTGCAGAACCAAGCACACCACCCACCACCCTCCCTCTGGTACCTTGTCCGTGCCGGCCACACGGAGGGACCCTCCCCAAACACTCCTTGTGTGCAGGCGCCCGGCAGCGGTGGCAACGATAACCTTGATAGAAGGTTCCTCTGGGAGGTGGGTGGGGGAGAGAGAGGCGCGTGATGCTGGAGAGACACAGATCTCCCCCCACCCTTGGCTCCCTCCAGGGTGCTCTTTGGGGGCAGGAGAGAGCTGAGGAGCGTCCCCCCATCCTGCAATTCAAGGGGACCACCGGTGGCGGCAGGGACCCTGCGAACGCTGCCTCAGTTCGAGACCCGGGTCCTCACCTGAGCAACATCTGGCAAGCTCTGCAGGGACGTGGTTTCCTCAAACGAGAACATCTGGAAGTCGTGTCCATTGGCCGCAGCATTCTCAGGGTAGATGTTGGAGCTGGGGGGGGGGGGGAGAGACGGAGGGAAATGCCACGCCATGAAGCCCCCAGGCACGCTGGGAGCCTTGTGGGACTCCGGTCTTCTGCTCCTTTTCATTTTGTTTGTTTCCTTTTGGGGGGTCACACCCGGCGGTGCTCAGGGCTGACTCCCCGACTCTGCAGTCAGGGATCACTCCTGGCAGTGCTCAGGGGACCCAATGTGGCAGAGAGAATGAACAGAAGCTGGGTGAGTCCATGCCAGGCAAGCACCCTACCCACTGAACTATCTCTCCGGCCCCCCTTCTACTGCTTTTTTTGGTGTTTTTTTTGGCTTTTGGGGTCACATCCGGCAATGCACAGGGGTTACTCCTGGCTCTGCACTCAGGAATCAGTCCTGGCGGTGCTCAGAGGACCATATGAGATGCTGGGAATCGAACCCGGGTCGGCCGCGTGCAAGGCAAAAGCCCTCCCCGCTGTGCTATCTCTCCAGCCCCCTTCTACTCCTTTTTATGGTTACGTGTGGGTCACCTGCATGGAGAAAACATCTTGGATGTCTCTATCCATCCGCTGATGGGTGTGTGGGTTACCAGTCCCACCCCTGCCTGGCGGCCCAGCACCCACATGAACCGGGGTGTGAGCAAACAGAAGGATCGAGAAGGAATGGGGGAATCTCACATGGCCATCTCGAACTGCTCCATCCACTTCTTCTTTAGTTCCCGGGTCTTGAAGAAGAGCTCATAACCCTGGATGCCTTGGTCCTCGATCAGGAAGAACATGTGTGTCCACTGCAGGAGAAGGGGCTCAGATGGGAGGTGCCCCCACCTCCAGGGGGCGGCACAGGCACCCTCCTCCACAACACACTGCAACCAGACCCGCGCGTTCAGCCACCCAAATGCCGGGCTCAGACTCGACCCCTCCAAAGGGGGTGTGCCCAGGGGGTTCCTCTACCTGCACGGGGGTGGGGTGGGGAAGGGGCTCCCCAGCAATGCCTCACCTTCTTGTTGTCCCGCTCTCCAGAGGAGTCATCTCGAACCTGGAAGCTGTGAAGATTCACGAAGTCCTTGAGGTCATAGGAGTCCCCCCGGCGCTTACAGATGAGCAGAGCCTTGTCCAGCAGGAAGGCGTACCTGGAGGCAGCGGGGTCAGGGCGGATCTGAAACCTCCCAGCAGCTCTCTGTGGGGATCCTCTCCGCCTTTCTGGCCTATCCTGGGGCCCACCTGTCCATCATCACCTCCTCCAATAACCAGAAAGGCCCTGTCACCTGTAGTTACACACACACACACCACACACACACACACAACACACACACACACACAATACAGCCCCTCCCCCTCCCTAGATTTCACCTATCTCTTCCCAGACTCCAGTCCGCACTGCCCGGGTGCCACCCATCTGCATTGGTTCCACCCAGTTGCCCATCTAAGAACTCAGGCTCCGCCCCAACTTTTGGCTCCGCCTACCTGTGCAGGTAAGAGCCTGGCCCCACCCCCTGCCCAGGCCCCACCCATCTGTGTTGGCTCCACCCTCTTGCATCTATGGACCCGCCCCTTCCCAGGCTCCACCACCTGCTCATCTAAGCCCCGCCTCTCCTTCCAGGCTCCACCCACCTGCCCATCTAAGCCCCCGCCTCTCCTTTTAGGCTCCACCCACCTGCCCATCTAAGCCCCGCCTCTCCTTCCAGGCCTCACCCGCCTGCCCATCTAAGCCCCCCGCCTCTCCCTCCAGGCTCCACCCGCCTGCTCATCTAAGCCCCGCCTCTCCTTCCAGGCCCCACCCCGCCTGCCCATCTAAGCCCCCGCCTCTCCTTACAGGCCCCACCCACCTGCCCATCTAAGCCCCGCCTCTCCTTCCAGGCCCCACCCCGCCTGCCCATATAAGCCCCGCCTCTCCTTCCAGGCTCCACCCCGCCTGCTCATCTAAGCCCCGCCTCTCCTCCCAGGCCCCACCCCCGCCTGCCCATCTAAGCCCCGCCTCTCCTTCCAGGCTCCCACCCGCCTGCCCATCTAAGCCCCGCCTCTCCTCCCAGGCCCCACCCGCCTGCCCATCTAAGCCCCGCCTCTCCTCCCAGGGCCCCACCCGCCTGCCCATCTAAGCCCCGCCTCTCCTTCCAGGCTCCACCCACCTGCCCATCTTAGCCCCCGCCTCTCCTGCCCCAGGCCCCACCCGCCTGCCCATCTAAGCCCCCGCCTCTCCTTCCAGGCCCCCACCCACCTGCCCATCTAAGCCCCCGCCTCTCCTTCCAGGCTCCACCCGCCTGCTCATCTAAGCCCCGCCTCTCCTTCCAGGCTCCACCCACCTGCCCATCTAAGCCCCCGCCTCTCCTTCCAGGCCCCACCCCGCCTGCCCATCTAAGCCCCGCCTCTCCTTCCAGGCTCCACCCACCTGCTCATCTAAGCCCCGCCTCTCCTTCCAGGCCCCACCCACCTGCCCATCTAAGCCCCCGCCTCTCCTTCCAGGCTCCACCCGCCTGCCCATCTAAGCCCCGCCTCTCCTTCCAGGCTCCACCCACCTGCTCATCTAAGCCCCCGCCTCTCCTTCCAGGCCCCACCCACCTGCCCATCTAAGCCCCGCCTCTCCTTCCAGGCCCCACCCCGCCTGCCCATCTAAGCCCCCGCCTCTCCTTCCAGGCCCCCGCCCATCTATCTTGTTGGCCCCGCCCACCTGCCCACCTGAGCCCAGCCCAGCCGGGCTTCCGAGGAGACCCAGACCCACGCTGGGCCCCTCCCCACCTGTCCATCTTGGAGCGTCCTCTCTGCCGAGATGATCTTGAGCTCCCCGTCGATCTTGGGACGCCCGTAGTTGGCCAGAGACTGGTCCTATACGGCAGGCAGTGGGTCTCACAGGGTGCCACCGGACAAAGAGACCCCCCCAGGCCTGCTCACTGGGCGTCCCCAGTCCCACCCCCTCCCTCACCAGGTTCTCGATGGACAGCTGGAAGTTGGTGATCTGCCGCAGCGTCTCATTGTCCCTCTTCACCTCGTTCACACACTGCGCCAGGTCCTGGGACAGAATCAGGGTGAGCTTGTACCCCCAGCCCGCCAACACGCACGCAGGCTGGGGGAGGAGGGTGGTCAGTCCCTAGCAGTGGCTGGACAAGAAGCCCAAAGAGCATGTCTGTGGCATGTCAGTCCTCGAAGGGGCCACTGTGAATACCATCCTGGCCCTGCCCCCCCCCCCGGGTGGAGGATGGGGCAGCACCCAGCTCCGTCCGTGCCCGCGTGCGCCTGCTCACCCCGCATGGCATCCAGCGCCAGCCGCAAGTTCTCCTTCTCCGTGGCGTCCTGCGTGTGCTTCACCAGCTCCTGCAGGACACCGGGTAGACGGGTCACCTGGATGTGGCCCCCTTCTGTTGGGGAGGGACACTGACCACTGACTCCTCCTTCTTCCTTCTTCTTCAGTTCCCCGAGACTGGGGCTGGATCTTAAGGGCCCTGCCCAGCCCCGCCCCCAACTCCTGAAGCCACGCCCAGACTGGGCCACGCCCACACTAAAACACGCCCAGGTATTGGCCACGCCCCTCTCCTGAAGTCACACCCAGGCTGAGACCCCGCCCCTGAACCAGAAGCCACACCCAGGCACTGGCCCCGCCCCCACTCCTGAAGTCACGCCCAGACTGGGCCACGCCCACACTAAAACCACGCCCAGGCATTGGCCCCGCCCCACTCCTGAAGTCACGCCCAGCCTGAGACCCCGCCCCTGGACCAGAAGCCACACCCAGGCACTGGCCCCCGCCCCCACTCCTGAAGCCACGCCCAGACTGGGCCACGCCCACACTAAAACCACGCCCAGGCATTGGCCCCGCCCCACTCCTGAAGTCACGCCCAGCCTGAGACCCCGCCCCTGGACCAGAAGCCACACCCAGGCACTGGCCCCGCCCCCACTCCTGAAGCCACGCCCAGACTGGGCCCACGCCCACACTAAAACCACGCCCAGGCATTGGCCCCGCCCCACTCCTGAAGCCACGCCCAGACTGAGACCCCGCCCCTGGACCAGAAGCCACACCCAGGCACTGGCCCCGCCTATGCTCCTGAAACCACACCTAGCGTGTGGCCCCTGCCCCTCCCCACTTCTGAAACTACGCCCAGGCTGGGCCCCCACTCCGTGAGCACCTGGAGCAAGAGGTGATACTTGAGCACTCGCTGCATAGGTACCATCAGCAGATCCCGAAGGGTGAACCCGCCCGTTGTTGGCCCGCTGGGAACATTCCTGGAAGGGATGGGGCGGGGGGGGGGGGGTGTCATTGGAAAGGAGGAGCTTGATGTCTTCTAATTCCATCCATGCTGCTGCAAATGGCATGATTTCATTCTTTTTCGGAGCTGCATAGTATTCCACTGTGTATGTGGACCTTGTTTTCACGATCCGTTCATCCGTAGTTGGCCATTTGGGTTGTTTCCCTATCTTAGCTATTGTACTAAGGGCAATAGTGGTGAGCACAGGTGTGCATAGACCCTTCGAAATTGCTATTTTTGTGTGTGTCTTGTGGAGTAGATGTCAAGAAGTGGTATTGGTCAGATGTGGGACTTAAAGACACGCAGCAAAGTAGTAGCAACGGTCCAGAGGCCACATAACGGGAGAACTGATCCACACAACCGAGTTGATGAGGTGAGAGTTGCAGTTCTTGGGAGGGGAAGGTGGGTCCACTGGTAACGGCTCTGGTATTGGAATCATGTGCATGAGAAACCGTTATGAATAGTACTGTGAACCACAGAATCGCAATTTTTAAAATGTTTAAAGAAAGGGAGAACAAAGGTGAGGGTCTGGAGGGGGGTTGGAGGGATGAGAGAGAGGAGCTACGGGGACAATCTGTGGGGTCCCTACTGCAGAGACCGGCAGGTCTGGACCTCCCGCCCTCCACCCCCTCCAGGTGAGTCCTTAGGCTTCCCCTAGACAACAGCTGTGAGGAGGGGGCCAGTCCCAGATCAAAGGCATCAACTGGAATCTGCATTTGCCTGCGTTCAGGGCTCCTGTGAAGCTGGGGCTCGGCCCAGACATGAGGGGTCAGGGTTCGACACCCTCAGCCCTGCCTCGGGATCCGGCTGAGGTAAGGGCTTGGATTCATGCCCCTTCCCCACCCCCCATCTTTCAGCAGGTAGCCCAGGAAAGAGTGTGTCAGCAGAAATGGGTCCCATCTCTGAGCACCAAATAAAGGGTGTTGGGAGGATCCTCCCAGGGTGGGAGAAGCATGCTGAAAGCAGACCGAACATGACTGCCACTCAATGCCTCTCTTGCAAAACACAGGACCCCAAAGGAGAGAGAGAACAAAAGGGATTGCCCTGCCACAGAGGCAGGGTGGGATGGGGGGACTGGGGGGTGGGAGGGATACTGGGATCCGTGGTGGTGGGAAATGGGCACTGGTGGAGGGATGAGTATTTGATCACTGTATGATTGAAACCCAAGCACAAAAATTTGTAAGTCTGCAACTGTACCTCGGATCGGGGCTGAGCATCCTCCACCCAGATCCTCCAGATTCCAGTAGGCGGGGGTCACACCCACCAACTGGCCCCCTGGCGCCGTGTAATCCCATCAACGGCCAAGACTCAGAGACTATAAAACCCAGCATTTGCGGCCGCGCGATATCTTATTATCTCATTCCTACTTTGGACAACCTGGCAGGCTACCGAATGTCACCTGCCCACACGGCAGAGTCTGGCAAACTCCCCGTGGCGTCCCCAATATGCCAAATACCAGTAACAATGAAGGGTCTCATTCTCCTAACCCTGAAAGAGCCTTGAATATGGCACTTTTTTAAAAATCTCAGGGCTAGGACGAAGGAGACGTTACTGGGGCCTGCTCAAGGCAATCAACGAACAACAGGATGGTCATGGTCGTGAACTGTACCTCATGGTGTCTCACTAATAAAAATTAAAAAATAAAAAAATTCAAAAAAAAAAGAAATGGGTCCCATCTCCAACCCACTCTCCTCCCCACTGCGCACCCCTCCAGGGACTGGCCAGGAGTAAAGAGGGAGTCATGGCCCCCCACCCCCCGATGGAGCCCAAACCCTACCTCCAGCTTCATCTGAACATCCTCCCGCGCTGTGGCCACCTGGTCCAAGTGTTTGCTGGCCGACTCCACCTGGCTACAGTAGCGGCCATAGACAAGAAACCTACAGGCAAGGGACAGGGGTTTTCTGGGTGTTTTTGGGAGGAGTGGGAGCAAGGGGACACCCATGTTCAGGGGTTACTCCTGGCTCTTCTGGTAGAGCTTGGGGAAGCCTATGGAATGCCAGGGATCGAACCCGGGTTGGTGAATGCAAAGCAAGCGCCCTCCCCACTGTCCCATCTCTCCGGTCCCAGAAATAGGGATATAGTGGTGGGCACCAGGCTTAGGCTTCCATATTTCAGGGGACAATAACACCAGCACTTCCCCTGTAGGGTGGCTTTACTTTTTTTTTTTTTTTTTTGCTTTTTGGGTCACACCCGGTGATGCACAGGGGTTACTCCTGGCTCCGCACTCAGGAGTCACTCCTGGCGGTGCTCAGGGGACCCTATGGGATGCTGGGAATCGAACCCGGGTTGGCCGCGTGTAAGGCAAACGCCCTGCCCGCTGTGCTATCTCTCCAGTTCCCAGGTTGGCTTTACTTTTATTTTAATTATATTCATTTGTTTTTGGGCCACACCTGGTGGTGCTCAGGGCTTACTCCCAGCTCTGTGCTCAGGAATCACTGCTGGAAAGCTTGGGGGGGGGGGGACCCTATGAGATGCTGAGGATCGAATTCAGGTCATCTGCCTGCCAGGCAAGCACCCGCTTCACCGTAATACCCTCCAGCGCCCTGATAGCTTTACTTTTCTTTTTCTTTTTCTTTTTCTTTTTGGGTCACACCCGGCAATGCACAGGGGTCACTCCTGTCTCATGCACTCAGGAATTACCCCTGGCTGTGCTCAGGGGACCCTATGGGATGCTGGGAATCGAACCCGGGTCGGCCGCGTGCAAGGCAAACGCCCTCCCCGCTGTGCTATCGCTCCAGCCCCATAGCTTTACTTTTTATTGTTGGTTTTTGTTTGGGGGGGGCCACTCCTGGCAATATTCAGGAATTACCCTTGGCTCTGTGCTCAGGGAACACTCCCAGCAGTGATCAGGGAAGCAGACAGAGTGTCGGGGATTAAAACCCAGGTCAGCTACACGCAAGACAAGTGCCCTGCCTGCCCGCCTAGCTCTCCAACTCTATTAGGAGGATTTAAATAAGACAGTGCCAAGGTACCCCTGGCATCCTCGCTGTTCTGCATCCTTTCAATCAACTGACACTTAGCAAGGACCCAGGAGATGGCTCAGGGGGTAATGCTCCGTCTTGGCATGTGAGGACCTGGGTGTGATGCCCCGCACCACCAAATCAAAGGTTCGCATAAGCAAAACGTGCCAAGCCCCTGTTGCAGACCAAGTGAAGCACCTGAAGCAGGAGCACACAGACCTCGCGACCAGCAGGAGGTACATTTTTTTGCATCGCGATCATTTATTCCAGGTGGGAGTAGAAAGACAGAGAGGTGAAGCGATTTTTCTGGGGGCCGCACAGCTCAGAAGAGGCAGCAGGGGGGGGGGGGGATGAATAGCCATAAGTAGGTGTTAATTCATGAGCCAAGGCCAAGAGGGGGGTTAGAGGAGGAAAGAGCCAAGAGGGGGTTTAGGGGCCTTCCGGGCTTGGCCCCCCATCGCGCTGGGCTGGCCAGCGAGGTCTCACCTCTCCTTATACTTGATGAAGACCTGGAAGAGGGTAGGAGCACCGGGGGTGGCCAGCGCCTCCTTCAGCTCCCTGACGAAGTAGGTGTGTACCCGCAGCAGATCCTGCTCAGGGGAAGAGCGTGGGCTGAAGCCGAAGCCTGAGGCTCAGAGGATGGAGGGAAGGAGGGGACAGAGGGCTGTTCACCTGCTCTTCTGTTTGCGTTTTTTGGTTTTTGTTTTTTTGGGGGTTTTGGTTTTTTGGGTTTTTTTTTTTTTTTTTGCTTTTTGGGTCACATCCGGCGATGCACAGGGGTTACTCCTGGCTCACGTACTCAGGAATTACTCCTGGCGGTGCTCAGGGGACCCTATGGGATGCCAGGGATCGAACCCGGGTCGGCCGCGTGCAAGGCAAACGCCCTACCCGCTGTGCTATCGCTCTGGCCCCTCTTCTTATTCTTTTCAAGTTTGCTTTGTTTTTGTTTTGGGTCACACCTGGTGATGCTCAGGGCTTACTCCTGGCTCCGCACTCAGGAATCACTGCCGGTGGTGCTCAGGGGACCCCCATGAGATGCCAGGGATCAAACCCTGGTTGGTTGCATGCAACGCAAGCACCTTCCCTGCTGGACTATCTCCCTGGCCCCTGGAAATTCTTCTTTTTCTTTCTTTTTTTTTTTCTTTTAGCTTTTTGGGTCATACCCGGCGTTGCTCAAGGGTTACTCCTGGCTCTGCACTCAGGAATTAACCCTGGCGGTGCTCAGGGGACCCTATGGGATGCTGGGGCTCGAACCCGGGTCAGCCGCGTGCAAGGCAAACGCCCTACCCGCTGTGCTATCACTCCAGCCCCTGTTTGCTTTGTTCTTGAACCCCACCCAGCAGTGCTCAGGGGTCTCTCCTGTCTCTGCACTCAGGAATTACTCCTGGTGGGGCTCAGGGCACCCTAGGGAATGCCGGGGATCAAACCCAGACCAGCTGCGTGCAAGGCAAACACCCTCCCCGCTGTCCTATCGCTCCAAACCCTCACGGGATCATTCCTGGCAGGGCTTGGGGCAACTTAGAGGATACCGGGATCGAACCCTGGTCGACCCTGGTCGGCCGTGTAGTAGGCAAATGCCCTCCCCACTGTCTTAATGCACCAACCCCCTACCTGTCCTTCTGGGTTCCCTCCACCCCAAACACACACACACACACACACACACACACACACACACACACACACACACGCGCGCGCGCGCGCGCGCGCGCCAGGTGGGATCAGCAGATTACCCCACCCTGCACGGTTTGGGGGATCGGCTCACCTCAATGTTGATAAAGATGGTCTCGATGTCTTGAGGCTTAAGGAACCTTTGTAAGGGCTTGAGGAAGTGCTGTAGGGGGAGGAAGAGGAAGGGTAAGGTGGGAGTCCCTCACCCCTCTCCCTCCAACCTGGACCCGGATTGATGGGGACGAGGAGACAGAAGGAAGCCCAAAGGGGCTCCAGAGACAGTGTGAGCACAAGAAGGAGAGCGAAAAGAGACTTGATCCCACCCTCCCACCCCACCCCCGCACCAGCAAGCACTGTAGCTGAGTGTGAGTTGAGTGTGAGGGCAACACCACGGATGTGTGCGATCCCGCTCAGACTAACAGCAGAAACAGAGCAGCGACAAGGGAACAATGGGGAGGGCACTGGCCCCAGGGTTCGATCCCTGACACCCTGACACCCCATAGGAGGCCCTGAGCCTGCCAGGAATTATCCCTGAGCTCAGAGCCGGGAGTAAACCCTGAGCACTGTTATGTGTGGCCCAGGAAATGAAACAGTAACAGAAGGGAAGGAAAGAGAGGATAGGAAGGGAAAAAAAAAATGATGCCACTAGGCCACCTGGTGGAATATTACTCAGCCCTGAATAGGGTGAAGGGACATGAACACTCACTATGACCTGAATGGACCTGGAAATATGCTCAGGGAGAGAATTCCAACACAAAAGGCCACTTTATCGTGTGATTCTCTTTCCTTTATTTATTTATTTATTTATTTATTTATTTATTTTGCCACACCTGGTGGATGCACAGGGGTTACTCCTGGCTCTGCACTCAGGGATCACTCCTGGTGGTGCTCAGGGAACCCTATGAGATACTGGGAGTCAAACCCAGGTCAGCCGCGTGCAAGGCAAATGCCCTCCCTGCTTTAGTCCTATTGCTCTGGCCCCAGGTGAATCTCTTTCTAGGAAAGTGCCAGAAGAAGTAATTTTCCCCCAGGCAGGTGTTAAGTCAAGCGACTCCTTTGGCCGCAAAGAGCAACAGTGCTGAAAAGAGAAAAGAACTAGGTGGCCGTCTGGTTCCGTTTTTCCGTGGACAAAGTCTGAAACCAGCGCTTGGCAAAGGGATGCGTCATCATATTCTAGTCTAGAGAGCGATGAGTAATGTGGATTCACATTCTGCTTTGTTTTTCTTTTTTCAGGCCACACCCAGCGATGGTCAGGGCTGACTCCTGTCTCTGCACTCAGGGATCACTCCTGACAGGGATCCACAGAGATCCTGTGGGGTGTCAGGAATCAAACCCAGGTTGGCCGCGTGCAAGACAACTGCCCTCCCACTGTACTATCACTGTGACCCTACACTCAAGGGTTTGGTTTTGTTTTGTTTTGTTTTGCTTTTTGGGTCACACTCGGCAATGCACAGGGGTTCCTCCTGGCTCTGCGCTCAGGAAATCACCCCTGGCGGTTTGCTCAGGGAACCATATGGGATGCTGGGAATCGAACCCGGGTCGGCCGCGTGCAAGGCAAACGCCCTACCCGCTGTGCTTTTGCTCCAGCCCCTACACTCAGGTTTTTATTTTTTACTTTTTGCTTTTTTTGGGGTCACACCCGGTGATGCTCAGGGGTTACTCCTGGCTCCACAATCAGGATTCACACCTGGTGGTGCTCGGGGGACCAGATGAGATACTGGGAATCGAACCCAGGTCGGCTGCGTGCAAGGCAAATGCCCTACCCACTGTACTATCACTCCAGCCCTGGAGTATACACTTTGGGGACCAACCAGACAGATTCTGTCCCCAGCACCTCATGCCCCCTAGAAAGCCTGGAGTGGCTCCCAACAACATTAATCAAAAAAAAAAAACAGTCCTGGAGGCTGGAGTGATAGCACAGCGGGTAGGGTGTTTGCCTTGCACGCAACTGACCTGGGTTCAAATCCCAGCATCACATATGGTCCTCCGAGCACTGCCAGGAGTAATTCCTGAGTGCAAAGCCAGGAGTAACCCCTGAACATCACCAGGTGTGACCCAAAAAGCAAAAAAAAAAAAAAGAAAGAAAGAAAAAAAACAGTCCTTTGCAGAGAGTATCATCATGAACCTACACACAAGTTGAAGATTTTGCTTCCGAATTAATGTAGGCTAGTATCATGGCATTATGACTCATGAAGGCATGCCGTCCCAGTTGTCCTTTCTCAGCAGCCCTCATTTCCGTTCATTTCTCTTTTGCAGCAATATTGCCTTCTGGGGCAGGGGTTGAGGTAGAACTGAAAGGAGAGGCTGGGACCCAGAGTGATAGGACAGTGGGGAATGATTTGCCTTGCACGCAGCCGACCTGGATTCCATCCCGGCATCCCAGAGGGTCCCCTGAGCACCGCCAGGACTAATTTCTGAGTGCAGAGCCAGGAGGAAGCCCTAAGCACCACCGAGTGTGACCCAAAAAGTAAAAATAAAAAGAGAAGGGAGAGGCTGGAGTGATAGCACAGCAGGCAGGGCGTTTGCCTTGCACGCGGCCAACCAGGGTTCGATTCCCAGCATCCCCTATGGTCCCCTGAGCACCGCCAGGAGTAACTCCTGAGTGCAGAGCCAGGAGTAACCCCTGTGCATCGCCGGGTGTGACCCAAAAAGCAAAAAAAAAAAAAAAAAAGAGAGAGGCTGGAGAGATAGGACAGTGGGTAAGGTGTCTGCCTTGCATGCCGCTGACCCAGGTTCGATTCCCACGCTTGCCAGGAGTGAGTGATCCCTGAGTGCAGAGCCAGGAGTAAGTTCTGTGGGTAGGGCGTTTGCCATGCACCCAGCTTAACCCGGGTTCGATTCACAGCATCCCCTAGGGTCCCCCGAGCAGCACCAGGAGTGTGCCGCCAGGAGCGATCGATCCCTGAGTGCAGAGCCAGGAGAAAGCCCTGAGCACCGCGGGGTGTGACCCCCCAAAACAAACAATAATAAATAAATGATGATGGGGGCTGGAGCGATAGCACAACGGATAGGGTGTTTGCCTTGCACGAGGCCGACCCAGGTTCGATTCCCAGCATCCCATAGGGTCCACCGGGCACCGCCAGGAGTCATTCCTGAGTGCACAGCCAGGAGTAACCCCTGAGCATCGCCAGGTGTGACCCAAAAAGCAAAATTTAAAAAAACAATGATGAAAGTGAAGGGACCACAGAAATGAGACAAAGGTGCAGGAAAAGATGAAACGGGAAAAAATTGGAAGGCGTGCAAGAAAGATGATCCCCTAGGGAGAAGCAAAGAGACGGCAAAGTCAGGGTGCAAGATCAAGCCGAGCAGGGAGCACTCGAGAGGAGCCACCCAGGCCAGCCTGGAACAGAAGCAGCGCGGCCGCCGGGCGGCCGGTCCCGCAGGCGCAGGTGCGCGCAGGTGGGCGCAGGTGGGCGCGGCCGCGCACCTGCTGGATGGAGCCCAGCGTGTCCGTGTATTTCTCCTCCGTCTGCTGGATCTCCCGCAGGCAGCAGCACCGCTTGTCGTGCTCGGTCATCTTGGGCTGGGGGAGACCAGCAGAGGCCGCGGGGTCAGGATGCTCGGGGGTCCCGGCGGCCCCGCCCCCGCCCGGACCCCCCAGTCCGCGGCCCGCACCGGCCCCGGGCCCGGGTCGCTGCGCATCAGGTCCTCGTAAATCTCGTCGCCCTCCGCCTCCTCGTTCTCCACGCAGTCGTACAAGTCCTCGTCCTCCTCCACCGTGTCGCTGGGGGACAGCGAGTCAGCGCGGCCGCCGCCCCCCACCAGCACCCCAGCACCCCCCAGGAGCGATCCCCCGACCCCCCTGGCTGCGGCCAATGCCCCGCTCCCCTTCCCAACGCGCACTCACTCGATCTGGTCGGACAGTCCACTGTAGATGTCATCGTCGGCCACATCTTCGTCGGAAAAGGGCCTGTGCAAGCCACCCGGGGACAGGACAGGGATGGGGTGAGTGGGGAGGTGGTCCCAGGGCCAGGGGGGAGGGGAGGGGAGGGGTGGGTATGGGGGGTTAGGGGGAGGGGAGGAAAAAAGAGGAGGAGGGAGGAAGGGAGGAGGGGGATCATCCGGGTGGTGATCCCCGGGCTGTCATCTCAGAGGGTTACTCACGCGATCCCCTTGCGCAGAGCGATGGGGGTGTGGGACAGAGCAGACAGGGTCCTGATGACCTGTGACAAGGGTCGCGGAGGTCAGTCTGCCAGCCTCTGCCACCCACTGGCCAGAACACAGCCTCTGACATACAGCGGCAAGGCTAGCCCCAGGGCCGAGCCCCCAGGTTCTGAGTCAGGAGCCCCCCACCCGAGTTAGCCTCAACGGTGCCTGTCTATGCTCCAAGCCCACCTCCTAGTCCATCTTAACCACGTGGGGGCATGACACTGATCCCCCCGTGACAGATGGGGACCGAGGGCTCAGAGAGACACGAACATCTGTCTGGAGTTCCTTCGGCAAGAGAGAGGGCAGGGGGTGGAACACGCTCCCACTTGTCCCAAGATGTGGTCGTACAGTGTGTCCTGGGCTTGCATGCACATCACCAACACATGCACACACACACACACACCCAACACGTATGAAAGCACGTGTTGGGGCTGGAGCGATTGCACGCGGCTGACCCAGGTTCGATTCCCAGCATCCCATAGGGTCCCCCTCCCCTAAGCACCACCAGGAGTGATTCCTGAGTGCAAAGCCAGGAGCAACCCCTGGGCATTGCTGGGTGTGACCCAGAAAAAGCCAAAAAAATAAAAAATAAAAAAGCACGTGCACACACACACACAGACACACAAACACAGGCACACACCACACATAATTGTTTGCACACAGGCAAACGCACAAACTCTTAACTGGAAGAGCCCAGCTGTTCCGGGGAGCTGATCCGATCTCCCTGCCCCACTCACCTTCCCGAAATCCTGAACATCAAAGAGATCAAAAGCCTCGAACAGTTCACTCCGCTTCAGGCCAAACTTCTCACAGCAGGTGGACAAGAAGGTCCGAATGTTCTTCAGGCACAGGAACTGGGGGGCAAGGGGAACAGAGAAATGAGGGAGTCCCTGTGACTGGGAGGAGTGAGTCAAAGGTACAGAGGGGTGCAAAGCCTCAGGGTAGCCCCGTTGGAGGACTGTTGGGAACAACCTCCCTTATTGAAGCTGCTCTCCTGGATCAAGCTGTTCCTGAAGCCAGCTCTACTCTCAAGAGTTACGTTTTTTTTTCCCCCACGGTAAGTAAAATGTATATAGGGCTGGAACCATAATACCTGGGGTACGACGCTTTTGCCTTGCACACAAACATCTCCGCTTCGATCCCCAGCATCCCATATGGTCCCTGAAGCACCACCAGAATTAATTCCTGAGTGCAGAGTCAGGAGGAACCTCTGAGCACCGCCCGATGTGGCACCCCCCAAAAAAGGTAAAATGCCTTTGATCTTTTGAGACTGGGAAGATAAGTGAAAGGGCCGGAGCACATGCTTTGCATCTGCGAGGCCCCGGTTTGATCATCTGGACCCCAAGCACAAATCTGGGGTGACCCTCAGGAACTGACACAGATGGTCCCAGAACCAAGCACACACGAACATTCACAAACTCTGCAAGCCTGATCCACACACAGGCCAGCGGGGAGGGCACTTGCTTTGCACACAGCCAACTGGGTTTCCATCCTCACCACCCCATGTGGTCCCCCAAGCCCCACCCGGAGTGATCCCTGAGCACAGAGCCAGGAGAAAGCACTGAGCATCACTGGCTATGGTCCAAAACCAAAATTAAAACAAAGATGAATGGGTGGGGGTTGGAGAGAGAGCACAGAGATGAAGACACATCTTGCTCCCACCCAACCCGGCTTTCCTCCTGGGCCCCGCATGCATGGGCATCACCAGCTGCAGCCCTGAGGCCCCAGGCACTGCCTGGGTGGTCCAAGTGATCCCAAACACCACCGGGACATCACCAGAGTGGCCCCCAGGCTGCCTGAGTGCTTGGGAGCCCACCACCACCACCCCCCGAAACAAAAGTGAGGAACGAGGGCTGGAATGTGCTCCCTGTGCCGTATTCATGGGCTCTGGCCATGAAACTAACGGGAAAGACGCAGAGAAACCCACCAAGTTCAATGAGCAAAAACAATAACATGGAAGGCAGAACCAACACCAACCAGCTCTGGACCCCTCAGAAAAAGACCGTAGTGACAGCGTGGTGAGGGTGTCTAATGAGCTCAAAGAAATGATGGTACAGGGTGGCTGGAGCGATAGCCCAGCGGAGAGGGCATTTGCCTTGCATGCGGCTGACCCGGGTTCGAATCCAAGCATCCCATATGGTCCCCTGAGCACCGCCAGGAGTGATGCTTGAGTGCAGAGCCAGGAGTAACCTCTGAGCATCGCTGGGTGTGACCCAAAAAGCAAAAAAAAAGAAAGAAAGAAAGAAAGAAAGAAAGAAAGAAAGAAAGAAAGGTACAGATAGTCAGCAAAGCTCAAGAAAGTATGAGAGGGGACGGAGCAATAGTTCAGTGGGTGGATACTTGTCTGCATGCTGCCGACTTGGTCCCATACAATCCCCCAAGCACTGCCAAAAGTAATTCCTGAGCACAGAACCAGGAGTAACCCCTGAGCAGCATTCAGTGTGACTCACAAGCAACAATAACAACAATAAAAGAAGCATGGGAGGGGGCTGGAGCGATAGCCCAGCGGGTAGGGCATTTGCCTTGCACGCAGACGACCCGGGTTCGATTTCCAGCATCTCATATGATCCCCTGAGCATTGTCAGGAGTAATTCCTGAGTGCAGAGCCAGGAGTAACCCTTGTGCATCGCTGGGTGTGACCCAAAAGGGAAAAAAAAAGAAAGAAGGAAATGAAGGTGATTTTTTTTTTCAAAAAATAACTTGTTAGACAAAGTTGGCAAAACCCTCCATGATATTGAAGCTAATGGTATCTTCAAAGATGCCACGCCACTGGCCAAGCAAGTGAAAACAGAGATAAACAAATGGGACTATCTTAAACTAAGAAGCTTCTGCACCTCCAAAGAAACAGTGACCAAAATACAGAGACAGTCTACAGAATGGGAAAGGATATTCACCGAATACACATCCGACAAGGGGTTGATATCAAGGATATACAAGGTACTGGTTGAACTCCACAAGAAGAAAACATCCAACCCTATCAGAAAATGGGGCGACGAAATGAACAGAAACTTTCCCGAAGAAGAAATCCAAATGGCTAAAAGGCACACGAGAAAATGCTCTACATCATTAATCATCAGGGAGATGCAGATCAAAACCACAATGAGATACCATCTCACACCTCAGAGACTGGCCCACATTCAAAAGAACAAAAGCAACCGATGCTGGCGTGGATGTGGCGAGAAAGGGACACTCCTTCACTGTTGGTGGGAACGTCCACTGGTTCAGCCCTTCTGGAAAACAGTATGGACGATTCTCAAAAAATTAGAAATTGAGCTCCCATTTGACCCAGCAATTCCTCTCCTGATAATATACCCCGGAAAGGCAAAAAAAGTATAGTCGAAGTGACATTTGCACTTGTTTATTCATTGCAGCACTGTTTACAATAGCTAGAATCTGGAAAAAACCTGAGTGCCCGAGAACAGATGACTGGTTAAAGAAACTCTGGTACATCTACACAATAGAGTACTATGCAGCTGTTAGAAAAGATGAAGTCATGAAATTCATATACAAGTGGTACTACATGGAAAGTATCATGCTAAGCGAAATGAGTCAGAAAGAGAGGGACAGACATAGAAAAATTGCATTCATCTGGGGAACATAAAGTAACAAAATAGGAGACAAACACCCAAGAATAGCTGAGACAAGTACCAGGAGGATTACTCCATGGCTTTGAGGCCAGCCGCACACACTAGGGGAAAAGGCAGCTCAGATAGAGAAGGAAGCACCAAATAAAGGGTGTTGGGCTGTTCCTCCCAGGATGGGAGATGCGTGATGAGAGTAGACTATAGACCGAACATGATTGCCACTCAATGTCTCTTTTGCAAACCACAGCACTCAAAACAAGAGAGAGAACAAAAGGGAATGCCCTGCCACAGAGGTAGGGTGGGATGGGGGGGACGGGGGTGGGAGGGATACTGGGATCATTGGTGGTGGAGAATGGGCACTGATGGAGGGATGGGAATTTGATCATTGCATAACTGAAACCCAAGCACAAAAATTTGTAAGTCTATAACTGTACCTCATGGTGTTTCACTAATAAAAAGTAAAAAATAAATAAATAAAATAAAAGATACCTAACAGACAAAAAATAAAAAATAAATTAAATTTTAAAAATAGGGGCTGGAGCGGTAGCACAGCGGGTAGGGCGTTTGCCTTGCACGCAACCAACATGGCCAACACAGGTTCGATTCCCAGCATCCCATAGGGTCCCCCGAGCAGCGCCAGGAGCGATTCCTGAGTGCATGAGCCAGGAGTAACCCCTGAGCATCGCCGGGTGTGACCCAAAAATCAAAAAATAAATAAACAAATAAATAACTTGTTAGAAGTTCTGAGCAGCAAAATAACAGCAGTTGAGAGGGAAAAATTGAGAATCTCCCACATAATACTGGGGAATCTTCTAAAAAACAATAGAAGATGTGGACCAGAGAGATCATACTTGAGGAGGGCGCTTGTTGACCCGGGTTCTATGCCTGGCACTCCAAAGGATCCCCTGAGCATTGCCAAGAGAGATCCCTGAGTGCAGAGCCAGGAGTACAGATGGAGAAAAAAATAAAAAGTATGGAGCTGGAGTGATAGCACATCCGGTAGGGTGGTTGCCTTGTACACGACCAACCCAGGTTTGATTCCCAGCATCCCATAGGGTCCCCCGAGCACCACCTGGAGTAATTCCTGAGTGCATGATCTGGGAGTAACCCAAAAAGAAAAAATAAAAGAATAAAAACTCTGAAAAGCACACACTCGGGGCTAGAGCGATAGTACAGTGGGGAAGGTGTTTGCCTGGCACACGGCCAACATGTGTTGGATCCCTGGCATCCCAGAGGGACCCCCAAGCACCGCCAGGAGTAATTCTTGAGTGTAGAGCCAGGAGGAAGCCCCAAAAAAAGCCAAAAAAAGAAAAAAAAAGTACACACTTGGGATGAGTTCAAGGGGGTTGAGAGGCCAGACGGGGGCTTTGTGGCCAAGTACGTGACCTGGGCCCCGGCACCAAACATATTCAAAATCACCGTCACGGTCACTGTCCTCCCGTTCTTCATTGATTTTGCTCAAGCGTGCCCAGTAACGTCTCCACTGTGACAATTGTTACTGAGTCTGGCAGTTCGATTCCTCGGCCCCTCTCGGAGAGCCCAGCAAGCTACCAAGAGTATCTCGCCTGCACGGCAAAGCCTGGCAAGCTACCCGTGATGTATATTCAAAATAAATAAATAAATGAATAAAAGTTGTGGGGCTGGAGCAATAGCACAGCAGGTAGGGCGTTTGCCTTGCATGCGGCCCATCCGGGTTCGATTCCCAGCATCCCATAGGGTCCCCTGAGCACCGCCAGGGGTGATTCCTGAGTGCAGAGCCAGGAGTAACCCCTGTGCATCGCAGGGTGTGACCCAAAAAGCAAAAAATAAAAAAATTAAGAATTAAAAAAAGTTGTTGGGGGGAAAAAAAACAGAAAGACTGCTGAGTGTGGCTGGAGCACATGCTATGTGGAGGGGAAACCTGGGTTCTAGCCCCAACAACACGTGGTCCCCTGAGCACCAAGCTTGGAGCACCGTTGAATGTGACCCAAACAGCATCTTGTCCAAAAGTGGATGGATGGATGAGCGTCCATCTGAGAGATGGCCATCCTGAGGCTCAGAGAGCCACGATCACCCGGTCCAGCCCACAGAGAGAGAATGGAACTGGCTCCCTGCTCTCCCACCCAGGGGCCTCGCCACCCCCTCCCAGCTGCCTCCTGGGGTGTCCACCGAGGTGGCATCATGAGTAGGGAGGGGTGCAGCCTGTGACGGGCACACAACTGCTCCAGCCTGGCAGACAGAGTGGTGGTGAGACTCCAGACCGGGGCTGGCCCGTCCCCGGGGAGCCGGGA